AAAGAAATACGATTCCAACTCACCGTGCGAAAAATCATTTCAAGAGAAGAATATAAGTCTTTTTGTGCCAGTAAACATCCAAATCGCTCCCTGGAACAAAATTTAGTGGCCAAAAAGCGAGCACGATTACTGTTCGAACGAGTTTTGACGAAATTTGATGGCTGTATTTTAAAGGATGACGAAACATATGTCAAAATGGATTATAAACAAATCCCCGGACGAAAATTTTACCTGGCAACTGGTCGTGGGGATGTCCCTTCCAGGTATAAATTTGTTTTTGCTGATAAGTTTGCTCGGAAATTAATGATTTTGCAAGGCATCTGCAGTTGTGGCCTTAAAACCAAGGTTTTCATCACATCTCACACAATGACGTCGAAGGTTTACATTAAAGAGTGTCTGAAAAAGCGGATTTTACCCTTCATTCGGCAACACAAGACCAACGTTATGTTTTGGCCGGATCTAGCTAGCTGCCACTACTCCAAGGAGGTACTAGAATGGTATGCTGCAAAGAATGTTAATGTTGTCGCCAAAGAGATTAATCCTCCGAATTGCTCTGAGTTCAGACCGATCGAAAAATATTGGACAATTGTCAAGCGAAAACTTCGAGGATGCGGTAAAGAAGTGACAAATGCACAACAAATGCGTTTAAAGTGGAATAAGTTCGCCGGTACAGTGTCACCAGCGACTGCGCAGATCATGATGCCATCGATCACAAGTAAAGTGCGACAGTTCGTTCGAAACGGTGAAATGTAATAACTTGCTGTATATCGTTTGAAAACTGAATAAATACGCCTTTTGTTTGACATTTTGATCAACCGTGTATGTTGTTTAATTCTTGAGTTATGATCACTTGAATGCGTCCAAATTTACTTTGAATCGGGCTTTACCAGAAAAATTCGGAATATCGGGAAGGTTATTCTTTTGAAGCCGCGTTGAATTTGGTGTTAGCAAAAAGGAAAGATTTTTTTGATATGCATTTTTCAATTATATTTACTGAAGGTGGATGAGATTTGAACTCATGACTTTGGCGTGAAAGGTATGGATGTTACTCAATTACTTTTAGTTTTTCTCATAATAAGATCTGTTGATGTTGTGCTTGAGGCCTCCCTTAGCTCAGTCGGTAAAGGCGCAGCTACAAAGCAAGACCATGCTGGAGGTGGCTGGGTTCGATTCCCGGTCCGGTCTAGGAATTTTTCGGGTTGGAAAATTTCTCGACTTCCCTGGGCATAGAAGTATGATTGGACTTGCCACACAATTATACCAAATATACCAACACTAAGTTGAGAGCACGCAATAAGCTAATATGCGATATGCAATAAGCTTGAAATGCGAAGAAGAAGAAGAAGTGATGTTGTGCTTGTGTAAATTATGAAAATAGCAAGCAATGCAATGGTTTCCTAGTAATAACATTTCTGATCATAAATGGTTTAATTTACACCAAATTGAGGAATTAGAACGAAATCACACATGTCATTTGATAGCTATTTGACAATTTTCTGTTTGCTCGAATGTTATTCTACCGTTTGTGTTGTGTGAGAGAGACGACGGTAGAGCATGAGTGTACGAATACAAACAGAATGTCGCGCACGACAACGAAGTGAGTGTAGTAAAAAACGTCAACTGTTTCAACCCCTGCCCAGGCCTGCTGGGGTGAGACCGGCGCCACTGAATCCCAATTTTGAATAATAAAAGAACTGATTTTTCAATTTAAAAAAATAGAATTTTACTTTTAGGATGTTTTCAATAATCGTCCAATTTCAAAAAAAAATATTATAAATTGTAGGATGGAGTTAAATTTCCACACCTTTTATTTACGTCCTCAATGCGTTTGTGCTGTGGACACAACCTTTAACTTTTTGTTTTTAATTCCACGGAATATTTTTAAGCATTTCGTTACGATAAAAAATAAAATCAACAAATTTCGTTTCGTGAATTCCGCGGAGTTTGTAAAGGCATAAAAAATTAGTTTCGTTTCGTCATGGACTAAAAAAAAATATATCGTATACCCTCATACACATGCAAGAACAAAACTGTTTGCCCCTGATATGTTTGACGAGCGCAGAACATTTTTCATGGCACATTATTTTATTTTTCAAACGTTTGAATTTGTGATGCAACTTCCATTCCACACCTAATCCTTTATAAGGCCGAGCGAACCAAGCATGCAGTCAACTCGTTCTACAATAAAAGATAAAGTTTGCGTGGTGCTAGTTTTTATTAAAATAACTCAAAAAATGTGTATGAAAGAATGTGTTTCCAATTTCAGATTTTCTTCAAAAATGTTCAAAGAGTTGTATTTTTTCTGAGCGTGTATCAAAATGGGTAAAATTTTAACTATTGGTTGACGAAATTTTCAATGTTCATCTCTACAATTTTGGGCTTGATCGATTGGGTCTGTCGGCAGATGGAAGATGCAGGTTGACTGCTACCATTTTTGCACTAAATGTATATAGCCAATTTGACAAATTTATTCAAGTTGGATTTTTTTGTCAATCTTTTCGAATTAGAAAACATGGTTAAAACAAAGTGAAGTCAAACCTTGCACTTCAAACACAGTAGAACACATTTTAAAGTCCTCAACCACCGCTCCCTGGCAAATCAAACCCATCTGAACTGGTTTTAAAACTCTTTACCGCGTCGAACCAGAATATCATGTCGGCCAGCCAAGAGTCGCGCTAGAAGCTAGAAACATTGCAAGCATTAGGGTAAAAATCTATTTTTATTTCCTTCCAATAAAGAGCAGAAGAACAGCCAGCAAGCGAAAACGAAAAAAAAAAAGCTGTACGAAGAACCAAGTGTATACGCGCAAAACGACCAAAGTAGGTACTCTACTCTGCTGCTCCATCGCACACTGCGGAAAAACAGCGAAAAAATGGTTCAAAATTAAACTAGTCCAGTTCTCGCTGGAGTAACTTGATCTCAGTATTCGAATGGAACTACGATTCTTTCCTTTGAATTTCTGAGAATTTTCCTTAAAACTAACATTTTTGGATTCTCTCATTGAAAGCAAGACTATTAATTTTTATTTTATTGAGAATACGGAAATTGGGGAAAAACTGCTCAAACTGGTAGTATGAGCATATCTGCGCAGGTTGGATTATTGAGATGTTTTTTTTTTACTCGATTACTTTTTCGAAGGAACGTATCAGCTTTTCCCCTGATAGTGGTATAAGTATGCGTGGGCGAGCTACCAGTTACGCCAAACCGACCATCATTGTTTACAAAAGCTGGTCCCTTCGAAAAAGCAATCGAGATTTGTATCATCGCGATTTAAATTTTTGAGTCATCCAAAGTTTGGGTTATTTTTTCCTGCGAAAATCACCTCAAATCCCAACTTACACTATCTTGCGCAAGATAAAACCAGTTCCAGTCGATTGCTGAGAATTTTTCCTGTTTAAAGATCATTTTTCTCCAGCGAAAACTATGGAATTGTTGAATTTTCAGACATTATTTACATTCTATCCCCATTGTGCATCGCCGCGGAGTCTTCTCTTCCCCAGCAGTGCCTACTGCCTGGACTGGAGCGCGCTCGGCGAGCGGCAAGTGTGTTCTATAATAATGTGTGTACATAGCAGCATAATAATATCAACAGCAGCAGGCAAGGCAAGCAAATCCAGATGGATGTTGAAGAGCGAGATATCACTGGGCTTGGAGGAGCGAGCGATGACCGGTTTCGGTAAGAACCGAATCGACCAGAGCGATCACGGGAAGCGCCGTCGGTGACCACACAGCAGCAGAGAATACACGGCGACAACGACAACGACACTGGATCCACTGGTGGGGAAGGGGTAGGAATACGTGTATTAGCTCTAAGCCCTTGCACATAGAGCCGAGCGGGCGTCCCGTTTGTATGCGACGATGTCGCGCAATGTCGCCACAAAGATCCTGGAACGGACCCGGGTCCCGGACCCGATGGGGACAGTTTGGTTGTGTGTGCGGTGCGGTTATGTACACAAACAGTAAAGTGACAAATTTACACGCGCGCACAAGGGTCCACTCCCTCCTTCGCTCGCTAGGCAGCAGACAGAGAGAACGAGCGCTTCTTGTGTCACTCTGTGCTGTGCTAGAATTATATGTGTCTCTTCCGAAGAATTTTATCGGATAAAATAAATAAACACTGCAGGGTACGGACGGACGGCGGAGCAGTCGGTATATAAGAGGGAAGTGTGTGTGCGAGTGTGTCACATAAAAGCTAACGACAGCCCACAAAACTGTCACTTGAATGTGTCCTTTCCTGTCGTGTCGATGTAGTGGTGCAACTGTCAACCCAGGGCGATGTCGCACGGGAAAATGTCACCGCAGTTGTAGGTAGGTTATGCTGCGCCTACTATTGTACGATGTTACGAGACGCCACCCCACCCAAAATCCACTGACTGCCGTCGTGACCGGTGCCGGTGGCTGTGTGTGAGTGTGTCGCTCAGCCCAATAGGTTCGATTGCCTCAATAGCTACCCCCACCCCAATTTGTTCGCTCAAGTTCGCTCTCCCGATACCAACAGTTTGTTGTGTGGCGCTGTCAACGTTATTATGTTGTTTTTTTTTATGCTTTGCCTCTATGCACGCTATTTACATGCTCACGCGCTCTCCACAGACGCTCATTGATCTTGCTCACTGGTGTGACTCTCGCAAAGCAGCGCTGTGTATTGGTGCAGGTTGACTTTGTCGGTTGTGTGTAGGAGCAGCAAGAGAACAAAACGCAATCGTCCCTCGCCTCCTTCGCTCGATGCTCTCTCGATCGTTCCTCATTCTACCGCGGTGGACGGACCGCTCTTGTATGGGTGCATGTTGTGTCTCTTAGGACTCTTTTTCCGAGCTTATCGCTTCGCAGCACTTGCTGCTTCTCTCTCACCGCGCGCCCAGTTGGATGGACAACATTTTTTTCCCGTATATGCGCTCCCCCTCGTGTATCGGTGTATAGGTGAACGGCGGCAACCGCACGACACCTGACTTGGCTCTCTTCGTCACATCCGAAAGTTCAACCAGTATTATTGAACCCGTCTAACGAGTGAGACATAGACGCCGAGTCCTCCGCTCTCATCGGACCATCGGTTTTGTGCTTCTATACTCTGAAGGAAAAGGAAACCGGGGACGGTTACTGGAAGACCCCTAGATAGATCGCACCGAATATCGCCTTCTTCATCTCCAAGAACCCCCGACGACTCGCTCTCCCTCTCGCGCTGTCGCGTCACAATCATCGCGTGTGTGTCGTATCGGAGGTCCCGCTCAGTCGGTCGGTCGGTAGCAAGATCGAAGATCCACCAGCAGCCACACCACCGCCAGTAGTCACCGAGAAGTCGCGAGCGAGTAGACAAACGAGTAGTGCGCGGGGTTGGCAGTGTGCTCCGGGCCCGATACTAGTTTTATTGTGTATTTCGCGTTACTGTCGATTGTACGTACGTGTGTATTATACACGCGCGTTTTTTCGGTGCGACGACAACGGCAATCCCAGCAGGCAGCTGAGCCGTGAGTGAGGCCTACCCCCAAAAAGTGGCCTTAGCTCCTCTCCAGTGTACACACGGAGAGCGCCGCGGACGGAGTTTTCTTCCGACTTCGTTTTATCTGGACACACGATAAACAACAACAACAACAACAGAAAACGTGTGATAACGGAAAACAAAAGCAAAGTGACAGCAAAAGATTAAAAGATCGTAGGTGGCGCTGACAAAATAGAAGAAACGCAAATTCGTGCAGAAACAAAAAATAGTGTCGCAACTCTTGAGCGTGTGGTGTAGTGTGCGGCGCAAATGTGTGAAATCCTGAAAACACGGAGAAGAACAAAGCGACAATGATTGCGAAATGATTCTCGGAAATTGAGTGAAAAGCATTCGGAGTGATCCAACAAAAGCGGATCAAAGTGAAGCGAGAGAGAAAAAATAATAATCCAAAATTCCGATCTGATTTTTACAGATCTCGTGGATACACAACACACCTGTGGTGCCAAAACCCGAAAAAGAAAAAAAGAAAAGTTTCAAGCCGAAAAAATTATAAACAAGTGTTCTCCCCCGAGTTAGAAAATAATAATAAAAAAAAGAGCAACAGAGGAGAAAGGAAGTGGCGAAAAGAAAAATATTGAAAGTGTACAATAAGTTACACTGGGAAAAAAAAGTGCGACTGGCAGGAGGAAAAAAATTCGGCAGTGCGGTCGTGAAAATTTTGTGAACGATAATAGCGGACCTCGCGGAAAAAAAAGACAACAGGACGAGGACGGCAACGGCAATCCGCGAAGCCTGGCAGGAGCAGTAGTAGTAGTAGTAGTTTTTCCTTTCCGGGTTTTTCGTTCCGCTCCGGTGTGACAGTTGCTGAGTTTTGAACTTTCAACAAGGTAAGCTGGGATTTGGATTCTTTTTCTTTTTTTTCGAGGGGTGGGAGTGAAGTGTAAAGGCCGCTGAAAGGGAGATTTGGTGGGTGCAGAAAAGTTTGAATGTTCGCGAAAAATTCTGTGAACCGTCAACTTTTCAACCCTGGACAGATTCGATGATTCGCAAAATATGAAGGGGTCTTGGATCTTATTTCCGTCCTAGTAAATGCAACCCGTGCGTTAACTCTCTTTCGTGAATGGATTAGCTTCTTATGAAGGATAGATTCTAATCTTTGATTGATAGTTATGCGTCGCGAGAACGTAATTTAGGCTTCTTCTTCCTCGCATTTCAAGCTTATTGCTTATCGCATATTAGCTTTTTGCGTGCTCTCAACTTGTGTTCTAGATGCACTTCCACAATTATTAATTGAGAACTTTCGACCCGAACATTCCTAGACCGGATCGGAAATCGAACCCAACCACCTCCAGCATGGTCTTGCTTTGTAGCTGCGCCTTTGCCGACTGAGCTAAGAGAAGCGTCACAAACATAACTTAGAGCCATATCTAGATTAAAATCATTCCCAAAATGCAATCTAATTTCACTGATTTGTAACGAGTTAAACCAATATATTTGCATGTGTTTACGTTTTGGGAGTTGTTGAACAGGTAGATTGAGGTTAGGGCGACGCCACAGCAATTATTAAAAATATATCATTACTTACTGATTCGAATGGCGTCCTACGAGTTTCAATTTCGTATTGAAACGTCATTGGGTTTACTTCGTCGGGCGGGAAAATTGAGGACAAATTGACTAGCTAAGAGTGATTCATTTCTTTTCGAAACAATTTGGTGTAAATATTCATACTATTTGTTCTTATAGATTTTGTATTGTACAAATTAATGTAAATGTACACGACATTTAGATTTGCAAACATTAACAGAGCCTTGTGAATAAGCAATGGTTTCATGTGTAATTGATATCAAGGGTGTCGACTACCAGTAAAAAGCTGGAAAATCAGGGAACAGCAGGGAATTCATTTTTGGACCTGGAAAATCAAGGAATCTCAGGGAATTTCATTAAAATTCTGGGAAATAGAAATAGAAACCACAGGAACTTATTAATAAGTATGACTGACTTTGCCACACACTTAAATTTTTTCGCCGAGATTCCAGTTCTGCAATTCATTTTGCTGAGATTCAGTAAAACAATTGCCGAGACTCAGCTAACAAATAACTTTTTGCTGAGATATCAGCTAACAAACAGGTATTTTGCAGAGATATCAGCAAAATTAAATGCCGAGGTAATCGGCTGTTGGAGATTTTACCGAGCTTAATTAAGTGTGTAGTGTCAAACAACTTAATTACTCGGTGTAGTTTGACGATGGTTGTTCTTTTAAAATTTTAAATAGAGTTTCAAACTTGTGGTTGCTCAATGCTTGATGTTGAATTTTTTTTTTATGTTGAGCAAGAATTACTCTAATAAAATAGTATTTTGATGGTTTTTCTGCCTAATATAAATTCAGCTCCCACTGGGTGTTGACACATTTCTGAGTTGAACTGAGATTTTAATATCTGGACGCACTGTTTATTTTACTGCAGTGTTTTGACAGTAGTTTGTGTTGAAATGTTTTCTCTTTCAATGCTGAAAAGTTCGTCACGATCCATTTTGTTTAAAAAAAAAGTTATACTTGATGGAAGCCGCGAACCGAAAATTAATTTTGGACACCCACTTTGAAAATCCGACGTGCTTAGGTTCGCGAACTCGTTCAAATTGGCTAAATCGACCTTGTACAGTGTTCTCAAACGTTTCCGTGAGCGGCATACTATCGATTGGCAGGATCATAGCACGCGTCGTAGTGGAACTAAGGATCGGAAGCTGCATTTGAAGGCCAAAAGCACAGTCAGAAGGATTTCGATCTTCTCGGGCCAGTAAGCAACCAAACAGAACACTGAAGCAGAATCTAGTGGTCAAAAAACGTGCCCGGAAGTTGTACAATGAGGTTCTTATAAAGTACTAAGCATGCATCCTCATGGACGACGAAACGTACGTGAAGATGGATTATGGGCAGATTCCCGGACTAAAGTTCTATATAGCCACTGGTCGAGGTGATTTCCCTAGCAAGTTCAAATTCGTTTTTGCCGAAAAAAAAACGCAGATTTTCGTGACAAACAAGACTATGGATTCCAAAATGTACAAGCACGAGTGCCTGAAAAAAAACGTGTTCTTCCGTACATTAAGGCTCACATTGGACTTGTCAAGTTTTGGCCTGATTTGGCAAGCTGCCACTACGGCGGAGAAGTTCTACAGTGGTATCGAGACAACGGGGTAGGTTTCTTCGAAAAGAACATCAATCCACCCAACTGCCCTCAATTCCGCCCAGTTGAGAAATATTTGGCAATTGTCAAACAGAAGTTGAAGAAGAGTGGAAAAGTGACTCGGGATGTGACAGAGATAGAGAGATGGTGGAACAAAACGGCCGCTCAGGTTAGCCAACAAAGTGTCCAAAATATGATGAGTGGTATTCGAAGAAAAGTTCGAGATTTCATCAAAACCGAATCGGAATCATTTTTTCCGCTGATTTTCCTGATCTTCATTTTGAGTACTCAACATTTTTATTTCATTAAGATGGCTCCGAGATACATCCGTATTTTTTAGCGTCCAGAAATTAAATCACTCAAGCTTTATAAACTGGTTATCTACTGAAAATCAGCTCCATTCGTTGAAGGACAGCGGAGAAATGTCGGTGGATGGACGGCACCACCCATCGCATATACTTGAACTCAGTGGCGTCGCCTTAACCTCAATCTACCTGTGCACCAACTCTCAAAACATAAACAATTATCAAAATATTGCTTGCAATGGATAGATATCGAGTTAACTAGAAGATTAAGTGTGTTTTTCAACCGATTCGAGTATGAATATGTCATTAAATCTGGTTTTGAAAGTTGGTGCACAGGTAAAAAGTGAGGTTACGCGTCGCCACTGCTTGAACTATTTAAATCCAGGGAAAAGTTCTTGGACAAGGAACCTTGTTTTTATAGATCCCAGAAATGGTCCATTTCTTTATTAGGAAAATTTGGAAGATTGTGGATTTAGCTTTTTATTAAATCCATGGCTTAAAAACAAGACTCTGGATCATTTCAGGTTCGATGAATTCCGGACTTTTTTTTAATTTTTGGTTTTAGTTTTTTTAAGACCCAGGGCTTAGAACGAAAACCCAAGTCTGCGGGTCATTTTAAATTTATCGGACCTCGAACTTGGAAACAGCTTAATTAAGATCATGGAATATGGGGAAAGAAACCAAGTCCTAGGGTAAAGCAAACTTTCAAACCAAGATGCTGGATTTAAAAAAAAATACAAAATCACGAGTTTTTAAATGTTGAAAAGATTCCGGTCACAGCAACATCTCAAGCTACGAGCAATTTAAAAAAAAAAAGGAATTTGTAAAAATGTCAATATCCTGATTTTTTTTTAATGATCCTGGACTTTGACAAAATATAGGTTCTAGAGGTTCTAGATTAAGAAACGTATTCAAGATTCTAAACCAAAACATTTATGGTGTAACTTTTCAATATTTCAGACCGATAAATGTCATGATAAAATCTCAAAATTACATTTTCCAAAAAATAATCTTTCACTTTTCAAAATTCGGCCTAATGGCTTTTAGACCAATGATCCATTCGGTTTTCGAATGGATTTCGAATAAAATGGCTCAACATTCGTTGTTATCAAGCTTGCAAATGCTCATTACAGCTAAAATGCTATTTTTCGGATTTATGAAGCTATGAGATATTTCAATTATAATTCTTATTTACGAGATCCAAGAAGAGAAGGTAAAGTGTGTGTATGACACATAAAACCTGTCAATTTTGCTTTCAGTGGGTCACAATAGTGATTAGCTCTAACGCTGAGGAACGCGTTGAGCGAGCAATCAGCGATCATAAAGTCGCTAGTTGTGACCTTCTGAAAGCGGAATTGACAAATTATATGTGTCATACACAAACTCTACAACCTCTGCTTACTTCTTATAAATAAAAATTATCATTATATAGTATCTTATAGTTTTATAATTACGAAAAATAGCATTTTAGCTGTAATGAGCAATTGCAAGCCTGGTTGTTATTATGGTGTGATCCTATGGAATCCACATATGCTGTAATTGGAACAAACCGTAAAGAGAACTTAAAGCCATTTGAATTGGGTTGCTTAGGGATATTGAGGTATTCATAATCTGCATAAAAAATTGAACCGAAATCTAAAATGTCACCATTTTTGGAACACTGGAACTAGCTTAAATAAGTATGCGATTACATTAGCAAAACTCACCGTCTTAGTGCCCCTCGGTGGGAGCGAGTAGAGAGGGTCTAGTATAAGAGAGGAGCCGAACGAACCGTCAATGCCATTTTAAGCCAACAACGAGTAAAGGGTATTTGATGGATAAATGGATTTGGTGGTAAGAAGTTGATTTGGGCAATGCATCTTTTCCACTTGTTTCAAGACCCATTACGTGTTGTAGCATTTTCTAATGGAAGCTATTTTTGACCAGAGATCACATATTCTACACACTTAATTCAGATCACCGAAATCGGAAGAATTTTATGGGGTTTTTGAAGGGCAGAACAAGTCGGTAAAATTTTCAAATGACCGTTACACGTGAGAAATCAATAAAATTGACAAATTTTATTTTTTATAAATGGGCACAACTTCGAAGTAAATGTACTCATTCAGTGGCATCCCGTAACCTCACTTTTTACCTATGCACCAACTTTCAAAACCAGATTTAATGCCATATTCATACTCGAATCGGTTGAAAATACGCATAATTTTCTAGTTTACTCGATATCTATCCATTGCAAGCAATATTTTGATATTTGTTTATGTTTTGAGTGTTGGTTGTTGGTTGGTTGTTGAGAGTTGGTGCATAGGCAGATTGAGGTTAAGAAAACGCTACTGTACTAATTTTAAGATTTTTAAGCTTTGACCGAACAGTTCCGTAGTTCAAAATTGTCCCGTCCTAGAAGGT